TCTTTCAATGGTAGCCCACCCCTTGCAGTTGTATGTCTCTTTTGATTAGTATTATTGTATTATGGCTTACCTTCGAGGAAAATCTGTACCTCACCCTTTGCTGCTTTCTTTGCCTCTCCATTCGCCAGCTCATTTAAAAATTTTCTGGCTGGCTTCGTGGATAGGGAGGCAAAAGAAGGCATCTCTTAGGCCTAAAACAGTGAACCAGGTTAGCTCAGGTGCGAAACAAGTTAGTAAAGTATATGGATTTGCTACCACAGGTTATAAATTCTGTGTCACCTTATTAACAGCCCTTAATCCAGTACTATCAGTTATTGGGCTGATTCCTTCCTTATCTTCCTTTTGAGGGTACTACTCAGTTTTCACTAGTTGTGTTCTTTCCTTAAGCTTGATTACCATTGGGGCATCTTTCATTCTCCCTGGTACAGCAGAGGCCCATAGCCTTGAAAACACTTATTTACTTATTCTAATATCTCCTTAATAATGTCTTTAATTTCAGTGTCTGTTAATGTTAAGCCTAGCATCTTTCTATCATTTGCCTCCAGAGTAACCTTTCTCATTTGAGAATGCTTAGCGAATTGAGCTAATTGTAAGTATACATAGTACATATGTTACTTTAAAGGTTTGCAAAAGTATGCCTTCTCAGACTGGCCAGTTGTTCAGTTGTTCTCCACACTACAACATAAACATTCTCCACAGGTACTAAAGCTTTTTCTAAAACTGAATATATGGCCCTTGTATCAACTAAAATTCTTCCCTTTTGGGAAGGTCATCTTTATCCTCCCTCCCTTACCTTCGGACCTTAACAAATCATATGTATTCATTTTGCAAACTCTGATTGCTTTGCATTTCAGCATGATAATCTTTGTTTGACATTACACATTGCTTTCTTATGCTGTATGCTGAACAAAACATTTGATTTGCTTTCTCTTTGCCTTGTTCTCCTTTTCAAGGGCCAAGACCAGAGGGCGGTCTGATCTCACAGTCTCTTTGCCATTCTGGGTGATTTCTTAAAACAAAAAGACATTTCAGCATACAGAAACCGCATCCCATTTATCTTCCTATTATAAAACAGTACTAACAGCAATGAAGTATTATAAATCTTTTTATTTTCTGAGCTGCTCCTACTGGCAGCCTTCTCCCAGTGAGCCCCTCCCAAAAGGGGCTAATTTAGGAACCTGTTTGCTCTGGTCAGTTCTCATTATTTATTTCTCCTTGCCCTATCTCACTTCCACTCAAACCTCTTTTCACAGACCTTCACAGTAGTTTCTCAGTTTTCCTCCTACACACACAGA